TGATTTTTGGCCCGCTGGAGGTCGCCACTTCTACTCGAGCATGGTGTACTGGCACCTTTACAAGATCTGGATCGCATAACATTACACTGTGTAATCTATTTGATATGCTCGTCTGAATCTTGTTGTTTCCGTGTGATCCATGCTTCATTTTGATTAACTCGACGTCACACAAACTAGACGCATCTACCAACATTATGAATGCGCCTGTCTAGTGTGATCTTAATTTTCCAGATAACTCTAAATAGGTTTTATTATCCAGCTGATTCTACGGAAAAACTCCGGTTCTCTCTTATTTTGACAGGCTGTCCAGAAACGGATTCCACAGGCTTGGGATGTGGTGTTTGTGCAAAGGACGATGGTCAGATAGCCCACGATTCAATCTCCCGGTGTAAGATAAACACATCAAACCTGAATATAAAGGTGGATATTACGTGGATATATGTGGCCTGCTCGTTTTCGAGTTGTCGAATCCCGTCACCAATTCGCGTCAAGGAGCGCTGAAAGCTAGGGACGGCACGTCTCTAGCGAGGCAAAAAAAACAAATTTGCAATCGATCCTACTCCTCAGCAGTATTCTCCTCGAAGCGTGATGGGGTCGATTCAATGCAGATGCTAGTAACCCTGGACAGAAGTCCCATTGTGACGCCTCCGTCCCCAAGGTGCCTGCTTGCGTTTCGTGCGGCTCAATAGGATCGCCACTCATGATGAGCGCGCTCCAGGTCTCCGCGCAGAGAGCGAGGGGGTGACGGCTGGCATCATCTTTGATTGACGTGCCACCAAGGCTGTCTGCCTTTCATTCGTCGTTATTTCAATTCCTAGCCTATCCTTCAGAAGATGGAACGGATCAGAATTGGCCATTTGAACCATGGACTAACCCTTCTTGGGGCTGGTTCAACCCAGCTCGTACATGACTTGGAATTGCAGCGCGTTGTCGATTGTTTGGCCATGTTCTTCTTTCCGATCACGAAACAACATAAACCAGCCACAGTTATTCTACCACTACGTTCCTTTATCAATTTGTCGAAACTCGACCTTTCACTCGCAAATTATTACCCTCCGAAACATTGAACCCATATTTAAATCGTAGCTCAACCCCCCGCTCAGCCTCCTCGACCCCATCATAACTTTATCCAATCCACCATTCAGTCCCCTTCCCCTACGCGTCCTCACGTCCCTCTCCTTCTATCACCCTCTGATTCATCTTTCCCTCCTGGCCTTTCTGATCATGTACTTGATACGATGGCGAACATCGAACAAAGTAACCAACCAAGATGGTGAATGTTATCGGTGTGGACAGCATCTCAGTCTGGTGAATTCTTTGGCATATGAATGTAATTCAGTTCGTAACGCGGGTATTGTGTTGGGGATTGAAAATCAGGAATGAACATAACGATACCACGTTTAGGATCCCACCGCGAACTCCAGGCGCAGTCAGCTGGTTATTTACGCCATCACCCTGCGTACGTTGCCATACATAATGTATATGGTCGCTTCCACGGCCTAGATTTCTCCTTTTGGGGGTTCTTGTTCCTATTGTGACCGCCGCCAACGCTGCCGGACAAGCTAGTTAAAAATTATTGAAATATTATGTTGAAATATTCTCGTTTCCTCTCATATTCAACATTAATCGCAGGTTATTTAATGAGCACATCCCGAAGAGAGAGCTACTAGCACGCCTCCTCTTTTCCCTCCCATTCGTATCCTCTTAAAAATTCTTGGCGTCTTAATGAAAGTGTTTGGATAGCAGCTATGGCGATGTCCGTAACGAGCAGAGAGGTCCTTAGGACCATGATTCCACTACTAAAGGTCAGTGCTGGGTCAGGCTAATACGAGCGTTACAGCTGATTGAACACCCCTATGCACACATTATTTAGCCAAGTGATAACCCATTTTGCATCCAGCAGTTTGTACGCGATCATATCCCAACGGCAGATCCTATGAGGTCGAACACCATCACCGACAATCATCGGCTCTCCCCTTTCTTGCACAAACTCTACACAACACCTCTCTCCATCCACGACGCGCTTGTCTTCAAGTTTGTCCAAGAGAAGGAGCTAACGAGAAGAGTGAGAACGTCTGAAGTCGTCCAGTCAATCCATCCACCACCAAGGACCTCCTCTTCTTCCGCTTCTTCAACATGGACAGGTAGCTCATCCGAAGTATCGGGACTAGTCGCCCAGTTCTGGATGTCCCTTGATACGTC